TTTTTAGCTCAGGGCTACCGCGACTTTATTAACGGCCATTGAACAGGTGTTGGAGTGGGCAATGCGGATGCTTCCCCGACAGCTGCCCTTCTGCTCCACATCCTTCAAGACACATCTGGCCGAATTGCAACCATTCTGTTTGCGCATAGGGTTGGCACTGCCCTGGAGCCAGAATGCAAGATGTACCGCCTTGCAGCCGATGTATTCAATGATGCTGCAATGATTCTGGACTGTCTTTCCCCGATGGTCCCAGCAGGATTTGGACGGGTGACTGTTCTCAGTACAGCAGGTGTGTTACGAGCTCTGTGTGGCGTCGCAGGAGGAAGCTCCAAGGCGAGTTTGAGTGCGCATTTCTCTCGGTGGGGGAATCTCGCAGAGGTTAACGCCGTACGTTCTGCTCGCTGTGTTTAAGGCTTATACCAAGCACTGATCTCCTGCCCAGAAAGACTCCTCACAAGAAACTATCATCTCCCTTATTGGGATGCTGGTAAAGATATACTCAAACATTCTCTTTCACGGTGCCGAGCTGATGAAGCGCAGGTTGGATCATTTGTCGTGTCTCACGTTACGAGCTATACCGCAACCTGGATCTCTCTATTGATGCTTCTTACCATGCATCTGAGTCTCAACTACGCTGCTGTCCGCTCCGTGCAAATGACCAGTATGAACAGACAACGAGCAAACATCGTCTTCTCAACGCTGCTCGAGTCCGACACGGACCTCGACATTGCGAACTTCCATCCCACCGATCGAGCTCACTCAACCCCCAAGCATAACAGAGCAACACAATGGCAGATACCAACCCCAGCCCAAGTCTCCAAGCAAGAGAGGGTCTTCGAGACGGATGGCATTCTAAGATGGTTCTCTGCCCCATCAACGCAACATAGGGTAGGCACCTGTCGTATCGGAGTCTCACTGGAGCAATTCCTCGCGCCGTCTGCGACACGCACGGGATCCGGTTCCCTCAAAACATCAACGCCCATGTCCCACCTTTCCTCCCTCTTCAGTTCAGAAGACTATCTGTTGTTCCTGCACCGGAACCGCCAATCCTGGGACGCAAGAATCCTCCTGAAAACGAGTAGCACGACCCAATCGCAGCTCAAAGCCTGGATGCACGCGTTACTGGCTGCACGAGTGCTATGCTCATCTGCGGAGAAGAAGCGGACGCAAGACAGCACGGAGGTAGAGTATATCACGTACACAATCTCCGAGACATTGACGTTCCTAAACGAGAAGTCTCGTATGGATCAGTACATGTCGGCTCTAACACAGGCAGGATGGGATCTGGACGTTGCTGCATTGGAGACAAGGTCTGGACGGCGGGTTGCTTGTGAGACTTGACTATGACACTTGAACCGGTAGAAATATATACTCCATCCTTCTATTCTCCATATACCAATCCCAAGATGACAGAAAACCATAATCCATGTACGAGCTAGCCAGCACGCAAAGAGCAGACCACAGAAGACGATATGTCTAAATGAAACACCCTACCCCAAACCCAGATAAACACAATCCCACCACGAAGTAACCCCAACAAATTAACACACAACGACATACAGAACAAGAACAAGAGTGACCTGACCAAAAGGAACAAATGAAAAAGAAAATAAAGGCAAAAAAGGAAAAGGTCGTGCCCGGGATCGAACCGGGATTACAGGAATCAGAATCCTGGGTGCTAACCATTACACTACACAACCGTTGATTGATGAAGAGGCTTTTCTTATTATAATCTAAAGCCATAAGATTAATTTCTAGGACATGCATTCGATGCCTTTTATGATCAACAGTGTGCTTCCCCAAGACCTGGAGAATAAAGTTGTGGTTCTTGATCTGTACCTGGTAGCTACTAGGCAGGTGGTTTAAAAATAACCCGTTCCATACTTGATGATTACTTGTATCCGTGACTAGAAACATGTATGTTCCATGGAAGTGACTTCTTGGTAGACTTTAAGGTTGGAAGGTTGATATCTCGTGACAGGGATTTGCTTCGATATTGGAATCTGTTTGAGATCTACAGGAGTTGGGCTAGTCCTCATGAATAGTGTCTAGGTGGCTTCGTGTACGTACGATGGAAATAAGTTTGCTCAAAGAACCCATGGGTATCTCTCGTTGAAGGTAAAATGTTAAATCATACATAGAGGGTAGATAATGCAGCCAATCCAATGCAGCCCACAATCATGCCGGACATAACAATAGCAAATATGCGTTAAAATCAAACAAAGGGCGAAAATCCCCAGTCGCCCGAAGGAAGAAGCCAACACAGTAACGCCTCACAAATGACCGCCCATCCGTCTTGGGACCGTATTCTATCTTGTTTTGAAACATAACAAAGAAAATGCTCGCTCACTGCATAATCACTCGAAACGCCTGCTATGACAATGCTCCCAAAATATACTAAAAAAAAATGCACCATGCATTACACCGTCAACTCATGTCCAAGTCAATGCGAATGAGGCTCAATAACCAAGAGATCAATCATCGGATACAGTTCACAATATGCAAACCAAGTCGTGTCGTTCTATCACATGTTGAAAGAGAAAAGAGATGATGGGGGTTACTATGACCATTAACCCCGCAGTTTAGATATCGGTCGTAGTGTAGTGCCACAGGCACGGATCAGGTGGAAGAGATGTTGAAATAAATGACACACGGGAAGTCATTCGTCCATGCCAGACAGTTTGTTGCTCCCCGAGCTGCCGGTATTCGAACGCTTCTTGAAGCCCAATTTCATCCCCATTTTCTTCCATGGGTTATCGGTGCGCTGCTTCGGGCTGTGAGCCAGATGCAGACCGTGGGCATCGCTAGATGGAGGCGTCGTCGGGGGAGTCATCGGCTCGCCGGCGCTCAGGGATTGTAGACTGCCAGAGTCATCCGTCAGACCAGCCGAGCAGTCGCCGCTGCCGCTAGAAGTGTGACTGGAATGCCGGTGGCTGGATTTGCCCATGGAAGTCATGGCACTAAGGGAGAAATTGGAGCGGCCGGAGGAGTAAGTCGGAGATCCAAAATCCTTCGAAGATCGCGGAGACAGTCGCCGTCCCTTCGAGCGGGCGCGCTTCATGGCGTGTTCGTCGAGACTCGGCCCGGAAACCACGGTCACCTCATCCTCCTGCGGAAATAGCGGCTCCCCCAATGGTACAACCTGGGCGCTAGCGGAGTGAGCATTCAGAAAGGGTAGGAAGATTGACTCTTCCATTAATTCGTGAACGAGTTTAACGGCGGCACTGAGGGTCTCGGGTAAAGGGGGAATGGTCGAATTAGCCTGTCGAAGGATATCGTCGCGGACTTCACTGGAGACATTGATCTCGCGGGGAGATCCGGGAATGATGTAGGCCGTTAAAAGTCGCTGCCAAAGCATCCGCAGGTGTTGGCTCTCCGGACAGTCGCTGACGATAGGATATTCACTCAACTGCTGGCTGAGAGTGTCGTACGTTTCCCGGTACCGCTTCGCTTCGAGAGTGAATTCCAACGTTTCCAGGCAATGGTTCTGGGAAAGGTAGGCCATAAAAGCGCTGAGGGTGTAAGGAGCGGGTGCCGTGTTTGCGAGCACTTCATCCAATGTTGGACGCATGGGACAAAATGCGCCCGCCGGAACGGTCAGACTCAACGGACGTGAACCAGACAGGTCCATGTCCTCGTCTGACTCACTGTCCGAAGACGATGATGTGGGAGAGAGTTCAGGAGTGGAAGTGGGAGTACTATGCCAGAAGTGGAGAGGAGGGTATAGAGTCTTCTTTTTGAGCATCGCGTACAGCGTGCGAGGTTTTTTGGAACGTTTCAATGTACGTTGAGCCACCCTGATTCCTTCCCAGCCTGGGTTGACGCGAACTTCGGGAAGAGCCCGCGGATTGTTCCTCACGACTTTGCAGGTACTGATAGGGCTTGGGTGTCCCTGGCCGGAAATGACGGGTCAATGGCGAGGGGAGAGGTTTCAGCCTATGTTGACTCAGCGGGAGCAGGCGCTTGCCAATGAGAACCGGCGGGGGAGAATGTAAGAAGCCGTGGGGACGGGACGTGTAGCGAAAGAAGCCGATTCGGGGCGTCGGAGACAGCGTCGGGAGGGAGGAACGCTGGAATTAAAATAGGACCAAGGTAAGTGTGGGGTGGTGGGAGGCGCGAAAGATCTCAGTGAACGAAGGGTGAGATCTGTTATCGAGAGAATGGACTGGTTAGTCGTGTGCCGCAGCCGAGATATGGATGGAACATGTAACGAGTCTTGGGAGAGAGTCTAAAATGAAGAAGAAGAAGACAAAAAGACAAAACAGTAAGACACCCAGTGCAGACAAAGAAGGATAATTATGACGACACCAGGGAGAGGAGAGAAAGTAGGGGGAAAAAGAGATATAAAGGGAGGTTGAGTGGTTCTCAAATAATAAGAAACGAGGCAGGCGGGAAGGTGGACGGGGTGATGTGATGCTGCGGATCAGAAGCCCTTCCAGAGAGTTCAGAATCCTGCACGGAAGCGTCGAGCAACCGGGGGGGTGAGTGGTGCGTGTGTGTGTGGGTGTGGTTTGGGCCCACAGGTACAAGACACAGAGAGGGCGAGAAAGAGGGTCCCAGAGTTCCAGACACAGCATCCACGTTGGTCGGTTGAGGAGACGAGCCAAAGGATCCATGCGAACCCACAGGCGTGTATTTCCGCCACAAATCACAGACGACTAACTTCCCGGTCGATCAAGCGCTTGGCCTATCAGGTCGAGGTAGGCGGAGATAGAGAGCCACTCAGATCCCTGGATTTGGCCCGCGCGATGATGCCAATGAGAGAGAGCGAGAGAGAATGTGTGTACGGTCACTAACCTTTGTTGGCTCGGTTTCTGGTTTCCTGCCTGAAAAAGAAGGACGGCAGATAGAGAGGAAAAAGAAAGAGAGACGGAGGGAAAAAAAATTGTATCGATTAAATATAGATCGATATAAAAGAAAGATCAATGAAGAAGAATTGGGGCCAAAGCAATCAACCGAATGAACGAAGGATTGATGGTACATGCTCTCCAACAGGGCAGATCACGTCATATCCGCTTTACAGAGATATGCGATATTCTCAGATCGTCTTGTAGGGAAATAGAACCAAAGGCTTCTGAGTCTTGACCCTCTTTCTCTCTCTCTCTCTCTCTCTTGGAAGTCATGACCCATACAAAAAACAGGATCTGGATACTCTTGTGGTGGGGAATTGTGAAAATGGATCGTGTTCGTCAGTGGAGGATCGAAATTGATCTCCGTCCTGGAAGTCAATCCTGAGAAGGGAAAGTGGACACTGGGAAAAAAAAAAGGAAAATGGAAAAAAAAAAGGAAAAAAGGTGGATCCCCTTGCGAATCGCAACTTGCAACACAACATCTCATGTCGTAGTTATG